CTGGAAAACATTTTTGGCAAATAATTCCCATTCAAGTGATTGGGCGCCATCTTTGCATCTGGTAGCCAGTGCTAGTAAATCCATGGGCTGAGCGCAGTAACTTCTTCGTATCTTGTCATCACTGTAAGTAAGGTTATGGTAAGATAACGCACCTGGCCAAGACACTGTCCATTACTTAACCCCCAATAAAAATACGACGTGTTGTTTTTACACTTTCACAATTTTTGTTACTTTTGGCGAGGCTAGCATCTCATTCAGTGCTATAAAGTCAATAAAACCATTTCCCAAAATGTCCAACTATCCCTTCAATCAAACAATTAGTTTGCAGGCCAACATTACAAATACATAAATATACCTAGATGTTGCATCACAGTTGTGTCTCACTCTAACAACAACATACATGTATGTATGCATGTATATTTATTTTTCCTTCAATCACATGCTGTATATTCAAGTAAATATTTCGACTCGTGATCACCTGTAGTGGGTCCAGCTTTTTGTCGACTCTTCATGACAGACACTCGCTGGGGCTGCAAACAACAGAATCACCAGCAAATACACAGATGGTTATTAAATATCTACAACATTAAAATGGTTTAACACACCTCAATAACAACCAACCAACCCACCAGATAGTTAAACTGTGGAGTTGCAGATCCCAGACCTGAGGCACTGATCCCCTCATTCCGGAGGATACCGAGCAAAGCTGCATGGTCATGCTGGAAATTCTCTCCCTTGTCTGAAATACAAGATAAGTACTGTACTTATGACTGCTGAAATAACTGAGATGTAGTTAACAACTAAAAAAAGAGAGCAAGCAATCATCAAAATCCCTATTGATTCTAATTAATCTAATTAATAATAAACTATAATTGTGTGTTATTGTTGTACAGGTGAGATACATTCATCTCCATGGAGAAAGTTGTTACAGCAGTATTAAAAATGGACAAAGACACAACCAAAAGCAGCCATGTAATAAATCCCATGTAATTAAGGTTAATTCGTTTTTGTTGAAACTGTTTGACAGGTGTTGATTCAACTGTATGACGGAAACTGTATTTTGAGGTGCTGTTGAATTATATTGCATTTTACAGAGAGATGTTTCTGGTTTTTAGCCTTCCCTCATTGATATGAATTGCACAGAAGCACCGGCCGTAGACGCAGTAGAATTCAACAGCAACACAAACGACATCTTTCAAAATGACCATACAGTTAAATCAACAGCTCTCTAAAACAGTTTTAACAAAAATGAACATTATTAACCTTCCTGAAGGTAGACTTTACTGCATTGGGCATTAGACTGCATAAGTTTCAGCTGGGTGTACCTAATAAACTGCCATCTGAGTCCATATACAAATGCAATGACAAGGCAACAACACGCTTAACTTACCGGTTGAGCTTGTGGAAAAATTGCCCTGCCTGGTCAGCTGCATGTTTTGGGACGTCTTGGTTGGATCTTTGAGACTAAGCAGGTTCATGTTATCCAAACAGGCCTCTGCACTAAGAGCATGCTGTGCAGAAGAAGTAGCTCTGTTTGGATGCATTGCATTATTAGGAAAGGATGAAAGATGGTTGGAAAAAGTGGCTGAAGTCTTAAATGTCTGGGAAGGACCAGACTCTCCTGAGAGCTCGGATGTATTTTGTGTAGCCTTTCCATTGGACTTCCCTGTACCTGTGGTAGAGTCCGCCTTGCTGTTTAACAAAGCTGGATTTTTAAGAGGTTTTCCAATTATGTTTTGGGTTATTAGGCGAGAATTGCACATAGTGTTGTCAGGTCTGATAGCACGAGTGCCACTCCTTAACTGTGAGACAGTTACAGGCTGTTGATTTTCAGTGGCCGTTCTTGAACTCTTAGGTTGAGATAGGTTGAAAGGTATGGGCCTGGTGCATGGCTTTTTCTTCTTAGCTTTCCCCTGGAGGAAAATTATAAAAGTTTTAAGAACATAAGAATCATCTGATATATAAATAAAAACATATTTACATTTACAGGAAGGGAAGACGGCACTTACAGCCAGAGGTTTCTCCTCCCATCTGCAGTGAGATTGGCTGAAGTCAGAGGGAGCCTGAAGATGAAGGGACTTTGCAAGCACCGGAAGCCTACTTCCACCTGGTCGCACAGGTGCCTTCCTGCCCATCTCTGAGTTTCCTGGATCCTGGTTTTCGATATCCCGGTTGGAAACGTGAGGTGCGGACATGAGTTTGGAAGACTTTTGTGGTGCTGGCATTTTGTTATGTTCATTCTTCATCCTGAGTGGAGAAAACCAGTAAGTTGCTAAATAATAAATGCTTCTATAGTAAAGCATTGATTGAAAAGTTTTGATACTGTTGTTCACTTTTTTGCTGCCTTACTTTGAAAAATATTAACATGTTTCTCCACATATTTGTCTAGTTTTTATTTAGAAAGTTCTCAAATGTTAAAATACAAGCAGCAGTGCAAGAACTTTGCCTAAAATAAAATTAAAAACACTTATAATTAAGGAACTATCTGTTCAAACAACATTACAAATCTGACATTCAATGCCAGCTTTGGGTACTTTGTAATTTATGAAATTTGGTACTTTAGATGCATTTCGAGTTGTACCACAAATGTACTAAGGTTTGATATCAAACCCTAAAGGCAGGAGAAAATAACTTCATAAAGTAGCTTACCTCAGAAAGTCACTGCGGTTTTTGTTCAGATTTTGCTGACGAAGGACTGGAGAGGAGTCCATAATGATAGCAAGGTGTGAAGAACAACTAACGTTAGAGGAACAACAAATGGCAAACACAAATTAAATTTGAGCAACCAAGCATGAAACACTATAACGTTCAAGGCTAATAGCAAACTGTAAAAGGATAGACAAAACACATAAATCATGTCCTAGCAGCAATAAAAATAAACTACAGTTCCTTCTGAAACTTTAACAATTCACAATTAAACCTCTCCAAACATAACAAAGATAGGAAGCAACAAAAACTGTATGAGGCTCTAACGTTAGAGCTTCATACCATTAAAAAGACTTTACAGGCATTAAATAATGAAATTTAGTAGCGAAGCCTGCGTACAGTACAAACCAACGTGTTTACCAGCCAACATTAAGAGTAACGTTAAATTATATTTAAGTTTACTCGATCAGAGGGCTAACGTTAAATGTCAAGTATTTTTTCGTTAGCAGCTACATAGGCACGTAGAGCCGTTTATTACATACGTTACATACTTTCAAAAAGGAAAGTGATCCCTGTTACTTCCTTCTGTGCATCCAATTAAGTGTTTATAATACAAGTGATTCCAAATGTCTTGGTTTTCGAGGCGTTTTGTACAGATTTAAAGATCCCTTGTTATGTCCTTTCATACCGCAGTCGGCTGTCAACTTCCTGGACTCGCAGCAGTTTGTAAAAAGCACGCTTCGCCATTGGTCAAAATTAGAAGCCGCACCAACCAATGACTGCGCGCACTTTGATCATGACAATTTCGTCGACCAATGAAAACGGATTTTCATAAACAGCTCCATGGTAACGCCGCGAAAGTTGTGATTGATTTTTTTTTTGCCGCGGTATGCCCCCCACCAGAGATTTGTAGTCCAATTGTCTTCAGCTGTTTTTCTTTCAGATACTTCTTGATAATATACAAATTTTTACATATTATTATTTCATAATCATAACTATTATAAAACTAAATGTACGTAATGTAATGTTTATAATTAGACAAGACTAAAAACTGTGGTTTGACATTAACACAGTCTTAACTAAAGTTGACCAGTCCTAGTCAAATAAGTAATTTTGTAAAAATATTGTATAATATATAGTCATCATGGGAATAATGCATTATTTGGCTTGTTTGTAAGTAACTATTTATTGTATTGCATTTATGTTTTTTATTTTAACGACTTTCTAATTTCAAAGGATACTTTGCAGAGGAGTGTTTAATTTTATATGCTACCATATTTTAATATACACTAAATTATATGTTGTGTGTGTAGCATGAAGGAACAACAAATTTAATTTCATTATGCAGCCTTGTGCTGTATAATGACAAACAATCATACCTTGTACCTTGAGGAGATTGAGATGTAGTTACATCATCGCTATGTGCTGCTGCATGATGTCACCATAAATAGGCTACTAAATCATTAATTAACACTACCACGCAGTTTAATAGGCAAACAGTTGAGTTACTCCTGCAGTCTGCTTATTGTTAAAGCAGTGCAAAAGACTCGAATAAACAACAAACAAGTCAACTGTTAGGCTTAAAATTAGCTAAATCAAACCCGAGCTAAAGCTAAGTGCTAAAAGTTTGCTAAGACCTAAAATTATCATTACTAAACCAAAGACAAACATTTTGCTATGTCGCATATAATAAAATAACCTGATTTCTACGTTATATCTTTAAGACACTTAAACGCCACATCTCGAGGTCTCACGTGTGACAGTACTTAGATTTACATTTATTCATTTAGCTGACGCTTTTATCCAAAGCGACTTACAATTGCTATACATGTCAGAGGTCGCACACCTCTGGAGTAACTAGGTGTCTTGCTCAGGGACACAATGGTGGATGAGTCACAGTGGGGAATTGAACCCGGGTCTACTTGTAATTTCTATACTATTACCTGCTCTTGAAGGCAGCAGTGGTGGAAAGTATGTAGTCACAATCTTTGAGAAAGAATTCGGGGTATTTATTTTAAACTTTACTCGAGTATTTAAATGTTATGCTACATTTATTTGACATCTTAAATTACGCTGACTTTGCAGCTTAAGATTTTAGGCCACTGAAAAACAATATGACACATTTATAAAACATGATGCCTTGGTAATGCGTTTTTATATACAGTCTATGGTTAATACCTGTCAATATACTTATCAAAATCTGCTCCACTTCGACCACCTACCTATCAAATCATAATGCATCAGTAAGTCAGTGACTGCAGACGTCCTGCAGGTGTCACTGCCTGGTAAAGCCCCATGCCTGCCTGACAGCCGCAACACAGTGTGGGTGTCTACTTGTCACCCATGGGCCCTGTGTCAACAGCAGAGGGAAGAAGAAGAGACGTAGAGGAAGAAACCAGAAAGTAACTGTGCTGCAGACATGGACCTGCGGTCTGAGCTGCTCAAGTCCATCTGGTACGGTTTCACAGCCCTGGATCTGGAGCAGAGTGGTAAGGTGTCCAAGTCTCAGCTGAAGGTGAGTGGAGGGTCCTCTACCTGGAAAATTGGACTTTAGGAAACCTTTTTTTCCACTGAGATATCACTCTCTTTTTTACTCTGCTGCCTCATTTCCTACCTCAGTTCATATTCAATCACGTGGGCTCGCTGTGAGGAAGATGTGGTGAAAATATTAGCAGTGTTCAGCAAACTAAATTTCACAATGTTTGTGTTATTTGGTCTTTGCTGTATTTGATTCGGTGCTTCAGGAAATAAGGGTGTGCGCAATCAGATATTACTCACCATACTGAATATTTCCTGTGTGTATCTCTGTTTTTAAACCACATACTGTCCAACAAGGAACAAATTTGCTCCCTAAATTTTGAGTAAAATGCTTTCGCTGCTGAAAGAGGGCACAATATGCTCCTCTGTCTGGCAAGAGTATGAGAGAGACAGTTTGCTCTCAGTCTGTATATGAATGGGAGCCCTCATCTCCATGTTGTGCTTACACTGGGCCTCCATGTACCAGCTTGTAGTGCAATGGGTCCTCTGGCACTGGACCTGTCCAGAGAACAGCCTGTTGAATAGAGTATCTTCACAACATGAGCCACTGTACGTCAAAAGGACATTGTTACAGTTAACACAAAGTGACAAAGTGGAAACGTGTTGGTGATTGTTGTCTCTTGCCACAAGGCATCAATGAAGCCACTGTATTTTTGTTGATCTCACTGTTATGTCATTTGGTCTTGGTGTGGATCAGACTCCATTTCCAGCCACCTCCACGTCCCTGCAATGTGCTGCCTGCCGCTCCTGGCTCACAGCGAGTCAGCCTCATGACTTGGCTTATCCCCCTCATGCATGCCGCCTGTGCACAGGCACCATGTTCTTAAGACGCCCTCAGAAGCAAGCCGTTTGCATGCCACGGCCTCAAAGCTGACAGATGTTGTAGTGCACTGGAGACTAGAGACAGGATGTGGTTATGGCTCAACACACGGAGACTGCTTGTCTGATAACATGCATCCAGTATCTCATGTCGTTGCACACTCTCAGTTGAAGAAATTTATAGCATTGAAAGCCTGGTTATATTGAGTAAACCCCTCTTTGACGCACACTGATACATTTAGGAGTTTGTGTTGCTTATAGCTTATGGATATTTGATGTATAGAGCTGGTGTTAAAATTAAATTTGGTTTGATTGATTTTAAACCAAATAAAAATGTTCTTTTTGAAGTTCAAACTTTGTGGGTGCCTCAAAACACCACCCACGTTTTCTACTATAGTTTTTCACACAAACATGCGTGCAGACAAAATTATGTTTAGAGAAATACGATGCAGCAGAAATTCAAAACTTCAGTTCCCTAAAGGTCTGAATTGCTTAGTAAGTAACACAAAGGTTTCATCCCATCACCCAAGCTCAACAGTCCACTAGATATACTGTAATGTAGTTTTGTCAATAATGTAACATCAGCATTCATGCCGGTTAAACTTTATCGAATTAGCTCTGCATCTCTCTGCTCCGGTGTGTTGTCCTTTCTGTAAATATGTCTGTCCTGTGCATTGTGATTTTTCAGGTGCTATCCCACAACCTGTGCACAGTCTTGAGTATCCCACATGACCCAGTTGCTTTGGAGGAGCACTTCAGGGATGATGATGACGGTCCAGTTTCCAGTCAGGGTTATATGCCTTACCTCAACAAATACATCCTGGATAAGGTGAGAAAAGCACAACTATATGCTCCTTTTTATGTCACTTTGCATTGCTGTGTGGTCAAGAATGCTGTCAGAGTTTTCTCAAACCCATTTTGTTGTTGTAGGTTGTTGAAGGGTCTTTTATTAAAAGAAAACGTAGATGAGCTTTGTTGGACTCTTACGGCAAAGAAAAACTACCGGACAGACAAAACCAGCAGCACTGTCCTGCCGGAGAAGGATGCTTTTCGGCTTTGGTGCCTTTTTAATTTTCTCTCTGAGGACAAGTACCCTTTGGTGATGGTCCCTGATGAGGTTGGTTCAACTAGAATGTATTTAGAAATAAAGGGATTTCTTCACACTGACTCATTACAATTTCTATCACAAAACAGATACTTAAAAAAAAGTAGAGTAATAGAAAAGTATTTTCTATTGTAAGATCATATAAGCAAGCTAATGTGCACATCTGGAAGTCATAGTTGATCATAGCTGCGTATGATGATAGTGACACTTGTTTCTAAATTTAGCCTCATGGATATTTAAACTTATTGTGCTCTGTTGTCTGTAGTCAGTAATCCGTGACCTAAAAATGGAGTTGGATCTTTTACAACCACTGAATGCACCCTGGCTGAAACCTTGTTTCTTGCCATGATGGAACACGGTGCTCTTTTCATGCAGCAGTGTGGGCTTGTTTCTCACTTGCAAATTCTCATTTTGGTTTCCTGTTGCGTTTTTTTCTCAGCTCCTGCCAAGAGAAAGACCTAAATTTCAAGGGCAGTTTAGTTTCTATCACGCTGAGTTTAAGAAAACATTATCCAGTTTTATTTTGGTACGTGCTTCACACGCCAACCTCTGACAAAGAAGTCTGTGGTGTAATAAGTACCACAGTGTCGTAAATACTGTTACTAAAGTGCGCTTCTTGTGCCCTGTCTGATGTGATCTTTACTGGTGATGCTTTACGTTGAAAATTGGAAACTACAAATCAAAGTGCACAAATAAAACAAACCAGATTTCTCTGCCTACTAACCATTCATTGTGAATTGTGAATTGTAGTGAACTGTAGTGAAGTAAACAAAAACCTTCAGAGGGAAGTAAAATAAAACTAGAATTAAGTAGAAACACTTCAAAGTTAAAAAAGGTACTTGATTATAGTAAAATAAATTACCTTAGTTACTTAATTATGTCCTCCTTTGAACTTAATTCGGCAAAGACAGATAATTCAACTGAAGTCTTTCACTCTCAAGATCTTTAGTTTCTTTTCCTTTCTAGGTGGAATACCTCCTCAAGAAGATATGCATGGCTATGACTATTGAGTTCAATTGTGTTGAGTTAGAGGACTTCTTCTCCCAAGAGTCAGTGCAGCAGAGCGGCATCACAGTTTGGGTTTTTCTGGAGATGATGAACTCCGGAAAGATTACCCGAGGAATGGATAAAAGCATAATCAGCATGGCAATAGAGGAAATATACAGGGAGATAGTTGGTGATGTCCTCAAAGAGGTAGGAGACACCTCTGCCACCAGAAGTGTGTGTTTTGGCGCCTGATGTGCTCTGTGTTTGACAGTTTATATGTGTGTGTCGGTCGGGGGGCACGCAGGGTTATCTGTGGAAGAAAGGCCAGCTAAGAAGGAACTGGAAGGAACGCTGGTTCACCTTAAGGCCGAGCAACTTGTCCTACTACACCGGGGAGGACCGCAAAGACTGCCAGGGCAACATAGTCCTGGATGGGAACTGTTGTGTGGAGGTAAGCAGCAGGAGATGATCACCTTTCAAATATAAACACTGCTCACACAGGTTAAAAACTTTTAATAACAATGTATTCTTTGTCAGTTTGTCCAGAAAAGAAAAACACGCTGCTCATTTGCTTTTTCTTACATACATTAAGTCAAAATATCATTCTTTAAGCCAGCGGTTCCCAGCGTAGGGGTGGGGGGACTCCCCCAAGGTGTTGCAAGATGAAACTGAGAGGGTCACAGATTGACTTCCCTCCTATTTCTTTTCTGAAAGGTGTTACCTCTTCAGGAGTCAAAAGAAAGAAGTCAAATAAAACACTCAGTTCTGTGGTTGCAGCAGCAGCATAAGGGCAGAAATAAGTATGTGCAGATGAATAGAGAAAAAAATTAAAATTAAGAGGTATATCAAACAAATTAAAACAAGAATATGATAGTATAGTAAGTACAAAATAGCAGATTAAAGGACAATTAAAGACAAAATTACAAGGTAAAGTGACAGTGGTGTGATTAATAGCAGCAGAGTCAGCAAATCTAGTATATGAATCCATCCTACACCAGATTAATATAGAGTCAGAGAAATTGTCTTTTTACTCCCATGTGTTCCTGTTCTGTGCCAAAACTTGGCACCTACATTACCCACAATTCAACTTGACCACTGACAATTTGGTCAGAGATTTGAGTGTGTTATGCTAGTAGCGGCTAGTGTACCCTCAAGCAGAGATGACGCACGGGTTTCAAGAACTCCACACACTTTTTCTAACTTGTAACCTTCAGCCCCAACCATTTATCAGATTTTACGCAGCTGCCTCTGGCACCACAAAAAGGTTTTATACAACTTTATTCAAATATGCATTAGCACTCCCCAAGACCTGTAAACAGACGTTGATAGGTGAAATCAGTGGAGTTTCCCTTTAACACGTCAATAGAAAATGTTCACATAGCCCCCAGAAAGCACAATAAAAGTGGAATTAGCAATTGTAAAATGATGGCAAACATTTTAAAAATTGCATCATGTTTTACAAGTATTCACATTTTTATCTTACTACTCAGTTTTCTGTCAAGATGTAGATTAAAGAGAAAGGGGGAGCTACTGTAGATGAGTGGCAAATGACATGTCACTAATCACTAAAGTACCTCCCCCTCTCTCCCAAAAAAACCCCACCAACACCAAGGAGGGAAAAAATGCACAACCCTCCTCCTTTTCTGAACCCCCAATAATTTTCATGCAGTCTCCGAGTAGACATAGCTTCGTGTTTAGGTGCAATAATCCTAAAAGGATCATCAAGTCTATAGAAAGCAGTTGAACCCTGAATGTCTTGTCTCATAATCTGATATCAGATTTCCTCACAAATCTCACAAAGCTCCCGGAACTGAACTCAAGATTAGTCGGCAGTCAGGTGATCGTTACCTGGGCTGCTTTGCTGGCTTTTGACATTGAACACTGAGTCAATTATTAGCCCACCAATGCCGCGCGGTACCACACTGAGTAATGACAAACACAAAGCAGGTCAAGCTCTGTTATTTGTTCAGCAGGGGCACTACACACCGCACCATGTGTTACTCCAAAGGAAAAACAAGCAATCATTCTGAAACCATGCTTTATTATAGGAAGTAGACGATGATCAAATAGTGTTTGGTCATTCAAAATGGACCAAAAACATCCTTTCCCAGTGAGTTCACAGTTTATTTCCTCACCCCTGTATATTTAAGAAATGGTCACACCAAATGTAAAAAGAAAAAAAAAACAATGCAGGATGAAGGGATTTATCGATAAAGAATAATGTTTCTCCTTGTTGAACAGGTGCTACCAGATCGGGATGGGAAGCGGTGCATGTTTTGTCTGAAAACCCTCTCCAAGACTTATGAGATGAGCGCCTCAGACACCAAACAGAGACAGGAGTGGACTACAGGTCAGAGGAGATGAGACATGGATTGATCTTAAAAGCGTCTCCCTCATTTCAAGACACTAAACATTGTCTCCTTCACAGCCATTCAAACAGCAATCAGGCTGCACGTGGAGGGGAAAAAGTCCCTGCACAAAGATTTGAAGCTGAAGCGGCGTGAACAGCGGGAGCAGCGGGAGAAGAGGCGGCAGTCCAAGGAGGAGGAGCTGCAGAGGCTGCGGGCCCTGCAGGAGGAACGGGAGCGTAAGCTTGCGGAGTTGGAACTCCTGAAGGAGGCGCAAAAGCAGGCCCAGGCGCTTATGGAGCAGGACGAGCAGAGGAGGCGCCAGCAGCACGAACAGCTCCAGCGGGCCTTGGAGGTCCAGCTGCGGGAGGCTGAGGAGGTGAGTGTGGAGGCAAAGAAGGGAGGAGGGAAAGAAAGAGGTTCAGAAGGAGAAAGATGTGAGTGGTCGTTCATTTGCTTCCTGCTGTGTGTCTCAAGGCTCGGGTCAGTATGCAGGCAGAGATGGCTCTGAAAGAGGAGGAAGCAGAGAGGCAGAGGAAGAGGATCCAGGAGCTGGAGGAGATGCAGAAGCGCTTGGAGGAGGCGCTGCAGCAGGAGATCAAAGCCAGGCTGGATGAGGAGGCCTTCCGCTACGCTCAAGCAGGGTAGAGTGTTACATGCTGCCAGTCATCTCCACTAACACGTGATTGGAGACCTATATATACTTTCACAGCACAGATAAGTCATTTGTTTGAGTTAAGAGCCTGAAAACACTAATCTGCGAGCCGTAAGCAGGGAGGTGCTTTTGTGTGCCGACGGCAGATATTTAGCTCAGCTGCTGAAAGGAGTTTAATCTTGCGTTATGTTCCTGAGGAAGTTGAGCTGCCACAGAGGAAGTTGTTAAACGAAGCCATCACCCAGATCTATTGTGTCGCTGTTTCTGTGTTCTCAGCCTTCTCAAGTGAGTTATTCGGGTGAACTGTTAACGCAAATATGCAAACAGGCCCTGTGCATCTTTGCTCACAACAACGTCTGCAACATTTCATAAATAGCCATTAAACAGTGAGGAGGAGTCAATCATGCGATTCTTAGGAGTAAAGGTTACTCCTTGTGTTTGCTGTTGTGTCTAGGTTACTGGCCGAGGAGGAGGAGAAAATGAAGGCCCTGATGGCCCTGCAGGAGGAACAGGAGGAGTACATCCTGAAGACACAGAGGGAGAAGCAGGAGCTGAAACAGGAAATGGAGGCCAAGTCCCGGGACCTGGAGGAGGCACAGAGGCAGCTGGAGGAGGTCCGCGCCAACCGGCACAGGGTTGACCAGGATGTAGTGGTAAGAACACAAAAATTATAAATAAAATATAAGAAAGTAATGATCACCACAACAGATAAGTTATCGTCCCTTATCTCTGAAATGTCGCTGTTTGGCTTGAATTTTATGCTGTACAAATGTTAGGTTGAATTTCAAGCCTGTACTACTATTACTATTTCACTTCATTTTAGGTATTTATTTGTATATAACTTCATATATATATGTTGTGATACACGACAGCTCATTACAACATGCAGTAGAACACAGACATTAATGAAACCAAACAGGCTTATTATAATCTGTCCTTCAAAACAGTTCAGTGATTTCAAAGTCCAACCAAAACCACAGTTTTAAACAAGTTTCTAACACCGGAGTCTGACCAGTTCTCTTATGCTCAAAATACTTTTTTTTATTTATCTGGAGTTACTACTATTGCTTGATTACTTTGATTCATTTTATGGATTTTATGTTGACAGAACATATCTTATTACTGATATTTATATTAGTTGTAGTTGGTGGTAATGCTAATAATAGCATATATCTTCATTGTGTGTGGGCAACCGGCGTTTTAACAAGCTGCTCTTTTTTTTCTCTGACAGGCCGCCCAGAGGAAACTTCGCCAGGCGAGCACCAACGTCAAACACTGGAACGTCCAGATGAACAGACTGATGCGACCGATCGGACCAGGCGGTATGTTCCATCTGCAGATCATGCATTGTGTGACGTGACAGCATTTAAAGAGCTTGAATTTGAATGAATGTGTGTTTCCATCCACTAGTGAATATTAGAAGCTGAGCATATCAAGATAAACAGCTAATTCTTCTGTTGCCAATATCCCATTTTAACAAGAAGAGGTCAAACCTCAAATGCTGGAAAACAATGTGCAAAGCGTGACGGAAATATGACTTTTCGGTTTGTTTCATAAATTAATCTGAGGAACATTACAGTCTCCTCATGGCTCTGGAGATTTTGAGGCTGTTTTTAATGTGAAAATTTAAAATCTGCATGAAAACAGCTTGATGGAAACACCTTATTACAAGTCAAGATGTTGGCTGTGAAAAAAGGTCTAATGTCTGATAGTAAAACTTACAACTGTGTTTCGCTGACAAACAAGTCACCTTATATTATGCTGTGACACGTGTGTATTGAAAATAATCATGTATGTTTTATGCATGCTACAGTCAACATTTGAATTATTTCCCCAGAATGTGCTGTAGGTTACTGAATGCCAGCGTGAAATACCGTGGCTGTGGCTCGGATGACATTTAACATTGCTTTAAGTAAAGACACCATTTTCTTAGATGAAAGATTGTTTGCGATTAAAGAGATGGTAGATACATTTCACACTGTTCTGTAAATATACTTCCTTAAATTTCTAAAATTCTTGTTTTTTTCAACAAGTGAATGTCTTCTCTATGACACAGACCCATGAGTCTGATTTAATTTGCCTGCTGTAACCTTAATTTTCTGATTTGTGGCTCCCTTGCTTTTAGAGAAGAGACCATCGTTGGGGAGCTCCTTCTCATCCTTCCAGATCCCAACACAGAGAGATCCCGGGCTGCGTCTCAGAAGGCGATCAGGATCAGAGGATCAGGACGAGGAGAGCAAAGAAAATGTGGACAACAGAGCTGGGTCTGATTTAGAGAAACGCCACTCCCATGCCTCTAATGGAGACATGGACATCCCCTAAAACCATGAATCAGAGAGGCTGCGTAGGTCGCTTCTAGTCACTCTGAGGTTTTCTGAGATGGCTGTCTACAATGTGTGAACAATTTGAAAACAGTGGGACATCTGCACTTAAAACTGAATTTACAGTACTACTATTTCTTTTAAATGTTGAATTTACTGACCTCATTTCACAGACGGCGGCAGTTTCAAATATTTAATGAGAAGTTTGCATTTGCAGAACTCACTGCTCAACTAATGCTTTGACTGCGACCTGTGTGAGGCCTGTTCTGGACATAAACGATACCTCAGTGCAAAGAAAATGAGCTATAAGCAAGATCCTGAAAGTACAAAGTACGTTGTGATGTTTAAAGGCTAATAATTACTTACAATACAATGAAGCTCATTTGTTTAGCTCTGTAATATAGACACATAACAATGTTTCATTTTTTAAATATGTATTTTTGGGGGAGTGGAGGTTGGCTTTACTTTGATGAAGACAGTTGGTTCAGGATTAGAGTTGACTGCAATTTCAGTCGAAGAGTATCACTCCTGATAAACAGGAAAGAGAGAGAGAAAGAGAGAACTTCCTGTTTCTACTGTCAGTTAACATTATTGTAAATAAAGGAGTGAAGTGATGACTTAACCTGATTTCTTCCTTTATCTTTACTGTGTTAAATTGAAGCGCCACTTTACAGAATGAACAGCTGAAATAAATAATATTTAAAGTACATTAAATATGTTTTTTAATGACTGACATTTTAATAAAGACCACACAGTGGAACGAGCTGAAGCCCGCACTGCTGAATTTGCAAACTGCACGTCCGCTTTAGTTTTGAATTTGAGTCCACCTCATTTGTTCATTGTCAAAATGTGTCATCACCGACTAATTTGAGGCTCTCACTGATAAAACCACAAGGAAACAGAGACATCCACTGACAAAACGAGCAAACTACATGGGGTGATTTTTCAAAAAAAGTCTCATTATTTACATACTGAATAGTTTTATCAATCCGTTTTAACAGACTTTTCCCCTTTTTGTTTGGTCTATTTTTTATTCTCATTTGCAATAATTCATGTAGAAACAGAAACAATTACCAACCATAAAATAAATAAGTACATTTATTTCAAATATATAGTATTAATAGACTTTTACTTATAGAAGTAGGAGATTCTTATATATTGTCTATATATACTGTGTGGGATGAATTTACCTGCCAAAACATTTGATATTTGTTACTTTTTTGATATTGTTTTCTTTTTTATGGTAACAGAATTACAAAACACAGCTAAAGGTTACAGATTGCACAACCTTAAACTCTACTAAACATTGCAAGTAGCAGATGACTGTAGTTTTTAACTTTCTTGTTTCTTGGGGAAATTGTATTTCTCATATAGCAGCACTTCTAAAGCCATGTAATTATGAATGCAGACTTTCTGAAAACGTTTATTGAAGTGTACAGTATATACCATGGCCAGATTAACCCTGCTAGACTGACCTAATGTAAATAGGATGTGAGACCCACCATTAACACCGCTCTCAGTTCAGTGTGTAGAGTATTCCCATGCTGGAATATTACATGGTCTCAGTATTGCTGTGTGATGATTAGAAAAAAACACAATTTAAATTAGGAATGTGCACCATAAAATAATAAAAGTCTTAAAACTGGATTATGGCACAGAGCTTCTTGTCAATACAGGGCCTAAAGATCAGGTAATAAAGCAGTATGTTTGTTGCCCTGTTTGACCTATTTTTAGAAAGGTAGTTCTGTTGCCAGATATCAGCTACTTTGGTTTTTAGCACAATGTTATCATAACCGATCTGAACTGGTGGCCAGAGCAACAAAATTAAGAATTGTAATAAACCATAGTTTTCCTTTAAGGCCCTTATCACATCCTTTGGTACTGTGATTTATTAGTATCCAAGCAAAGCAACCACGCGGGGGGGTCTAGGCCATAGTTTCTTGCTTTGCTGGTTGGTGAAATTTGTCTAGAAAAATCATTGTATTTGATATAAATTGCTTCTACATGTTTTTGATCATGCAATTCAACTTTATCTAGTGAAAGTCTTTATTTCGACTTAAATCACAAATGTGCCTAAAATGGCTTTAAACTACACGGACAGGCTGTCTGTCTGTCTGTCTCTGCAGATATGATCAAAATCACATACAGCTTTTTTCCGTATCACTGCAGTATAGATCCGAAATGTTGCAGATGACAGAAACAACAGTGCGTGTTAGCCTTAACAGAGACCTTGACTTCTCAGAGAGCTGTTTGCTGCCTGATGTGTGTGAGTTGGGGGGGGCGCTGTGTCCTGGCATGTGACGATGGAGGAGGAGAGGGGGTGAAGCAAAGCAAAGCAAAGCAAAGCAAAGCAAAGCTAGGAACAACAAGGAGAGTCGGGGAGGGATTATCAGTCCACTACGCTTCTCTTCATTTGATATGGTAGCGAACAAAAAGTGTCTAAACTGTTTTCTCTTGAGCTCAGCGGTTTGTCAGCTCGGCTGCCACAAGAAGGCCTGAATCAATCTGAAGTTTATGTTAGCAGTCTGACGTTAGCTCCTGCTGCTAGCTAACTCCTGGTGGTGACTTCAAACAACTTGTCAACAGCCGATCGATCCGGGACGGGACTGTTTTCGCTACTAGTTTATGTTAGCCTTGTTGGCAAATCCTTGTAGCATAAATATCCACTGAACCAGCAGCACTATTGGGAGAGGTAAGCTAAGTTGGCAAGCCAGCTAACGTTGTTTAAAAGCAAACACGGGAATGTGGGTCAGCAACGCTAAAAGCTAGTAGTAGTAGTACCCAGTCAACATTCAAGGTTAGTAGCTAACTAGCTAAGTTAGCTAGCCGTGCCGACACTCTTCGACGACCTCCTGGCATGCTAAAGATACTCCTGATGTTGTTTTCACTTTACGCAGATATAGAAAGTTTTACGATAGCCATGTCTAGAACTTATTCTTCCTTTCATTTATCTTATGCTTGTTAACATTATCTTGTCTCCGTCCTGTCATTGACAGGACAATTCACAGTAATGCTGGCAGAAATTTCCGAGAACCAGTGTGACAGGTTGGCAGCTGGACGACAAGTCTTGACAGTCCTAAGTGGTGTTTTTTCCCCAATGAAACGTTATGGAAAAAAAGCTGAGGTTTTGTCCCGCTTTGGGCCGTCATGTAATGACTGTATTCATACTGAAAACATCAATAACTATTTAATAAGTTAGACGCTGTGGATGTTTGTCAGAGCACAGCTTCATACATGGACGGATTAATCCACTAGGGGGCCCCGGGGCAAATATGTAACCCCCCCACCAACCCCCAGAGCCCCCTCTCCTACCCAGCGATCAACACTGCTCAGTGTGTACATAGTGCATGCGCCCTGTCCCCTTAAAGCACCCAGTAAGTATATCGTGAACCCTACCATGGAACTGAGGAAAACAATAATACAGATGTCCCCCAGCTCCAATAGAGCCAAAGTTTACTTTTTCAGATAGTGGAGAACAGACTGAAATGTTTAGGACACATTCACATCAGACCAGAAACTGCGATTAGCTTAGGAATCATGACTTATGGGACCTGTGTGTACATAGAAACGGGGCCCTTTTTTGTGCCCGGGCCAGCAGGACTGTATTTTTAATTTACATTTTAGCCTCATAGACACATACTTTGATTGGATTGAAATTTGTGAGTTGGGGTGTGTGGTGTAATGCTGCATCATTGTGCTCCTCAGATGGTCCCATTTCCCGAGTTGTGAAGTCTTTCTTCCGACTTCGGTGTTCAAGTGCTTTAAGTCGGAATATGGAAATAACATGGATGCTACTATAAAGATGTGTTGGATTAGCATTATCATCCAACTATGCTGAAACAGTTTGAAGCTTTCCATTACAAAGTTACTTTTGTGTCCCAAAGTTGTTACTGCACCAGTACATTACCTGAAACCAATAAAATGTAGCTTGTTCTGCAAATACTGCTAATAAAAAACGGTCCTAATTAATCTACTTCAATCTACATTGACAGCAAACTAGCCGTTATAACCTAATACACAGCAATAATAATTTTGCACCATTATTTCAACGTTTCTAATCATCAACCATGTTGTCCACCATGTTTAATGTGTATGATGTCGGCAACTCGTGTAGCATAATTTTTCTCTGACTTAATTAGTTATTGTGCCGACTTCAGTGGGCGTTCCCTAGGGGTAGGGGAAAAAATCGATACAGCATAGCATCGTGATATTTGCCATGGCAAAACTGTATCGATACACGGACACCAAGTATCGATATTTTATTAGATAAATTTCAGATGGTACAAACAGAGTAGTGTATCTTCTTAGTTAAACAGATGTTGACAAAGTTTGACTTTAGGGACCTAATTGGAAGTTGGAAAAAGGTAATAAATTGCAATATATCCCAATATATTTAAAATCGCAATAAAATCGAATCGCAACATAAATATTGTGATAATATCGTATCGTTGGTGGTGATTCCCACCCCTAGCGTTCATGTGAATCTTCCCAGTTGGGAAAAAAAATTTCAGTTTATTCTGACACTACATGAAGGCATAATAAATATGTCTACCAACAGAGGTTTTGCCATACCGTTTGTACTGTGGTAGCGTTCTCTTTCACATCTGAGGGTGTATTACCAATGTCGGCATGTTGCTAATCAATGAGCAGGACGGCTTTGTGGCTTTTGTTGGATTTGTATGTGATTTTTGTGGGTGATTAAGTAGCTTTAATCTGTCAGTCATTATTGCTGAATTAGATTCGTCACTGGTTATTTTAATGGTTTCTGTTACCTCATGATATATCTCTCTATATATATGAGCGAGCAAGCGAGAGAGGCAGAGAGAGGGCGATATGGATTTGAAAAGACATATGTCATTATTAACAATTTTAGGCATAACACCCACACAGATTAGTAAAGTGTTGCCTTAAAGTTTGTCTCAATGAAAAACTGGGGTGTTCAGGTTTATTAATGGGTCTGGGGCCCCTGCTTTTCTGTTCTGCTTCCCTAAAGGCTAATCCAGGCATGCCTACACAGCGTGTGTATATCATGTCATAAGCCTATTACTATCAAGGGCATTCCCTGGCTGCTGAAACACAACCAGTAGTAATGGACTGGCTCGGGAAAGGACACCTAAAGAAACACATTGTCAAAGACTTGTAAATGCTGTTATTTCAGTTTCAAGTGATCTAAAGCTAAATAGCTCCACCATATATTCCTTGTGCACAGTGTGCTTTCATGACAAACAGAAATTTAGAGGAGCATTTTGGCTCTGCAAGGTGTTATGACAAGCTTTATGCTCAGTTTGGCTAGTGACACTGTGGTCACTGGAATGGGATTTTTAACTGCTCACATGCTGGATCTAATAGCAAGGCATATGATATGTGGACATTTGAGACCAGTTAAAAGTGTTCTGTTGGTCAGTCCTGCTCTGACTGTAATCCACTTGTTAAGTACACACTGTTCATTTAATATTGCTTATTTAAATCAAAGTATTACATTCTTTAATAGTGGAGCTATGATGGCAACGTGACAGGAGGGAAGCCGCTGAGTCAGCTTCAACAGGAACCATGGAAGGGTTTCAGCCAACTGCTACAGAGCAGCACGACAGGGTGAACGGCTACTCCTCCCCCAAATCCCCACAGGACACGGCTGATGTCAGGTGGACGCCACCAGAGGGAGATTCTGGAGGTTCGGACAGCTGTGGGGGGACAAGTGTGTCGGAGCTGACAGACCTGCAAGAGTTGAAGGCAAGGGAAAGTGAGAATGAGGAGGACAAGGAGGAGAAGGAGGCAGTTCCTGCCTCTAAAGGCCTGAAAGGGGACCAGAAGAAAAAAGAGAAAGAGAGTCTGGATGAGGAGAACAATCACAGCAAGCAAAACAGCAGTGCAGCATCCAGCTATACAGGTAAGACCAAAATCCTGACCTGAAGCATGACACGTTTAGATGACAGATAATTCTTAAGCCTTAATATTCATGTTTTTTTGTTTGTTTTATTTTCATGCAGACCTGTCCCATACCTCGTCACCCTCGCTGTCAGAACAGCTGCGTCTTGGCCGAGAAGACAGCACAGGGTCTGGGATCAGCGTGGAGTGTAAGGTCTGTGGGGACAAGGCCTCTGGCTTTCACTATGGCGTGCATGCCTGCGAAGGTTGCAAGGTAAATGCAGTGTTTGCATCACAGCAAAATAGCTAAGTAAGATTACAAAGGTCAACAACGATAGTTTTGTGCTGTTTGATATGAGTTGCTGAACCGGTTCCGTTGTCTCTCTCTCAGGGCTTTTTCCGGCGGACCGTGCGAATGAAACTGGAATATGACCGCTGTGAACGTTCCTGCAAGATTCAGAAGAAGAATCGTAACAAGTGCCAATATTGTCGATTCCAGAAGTGCCTGTCTTTGGGAATGTCCCATGATGGTGAGAGGGAAAATATGTTGGCATGTTTACTCAATAAATTAGGCTGTGTTAATTAAAATAATTAGGCATATTCTATTTACATATCCAAGACTTGAATGTGTAATGTGTAATTTACTTAGGGTTTAGCTTAGATGGATTTTATTGAATGTGAGGTGAGTAACAAATCTGCTCATTTATTTAATTTCCCTTCTAAACTCCTTTGGAACCTTTTTACATGCATGAAAAATGCTGTTTCTCTGGTATTATTGAGGGGATGGTCGATTTATTTTGATTTACCAAAGTGGGTATTTTGCAAACTTGGAAAAAACAAAACCAGTTATCAGAACCCATCCATATCACTGTGTCCGGAAATACCCACTCAAAATAAGACCAGCATGTCTATGTGTGTCTGCTCAGCGATCCGATATGGACGTATGCCTGAGGCGGAGAGGAAGAAGCTGGTGGCAGGCTTGCTCGCAGAGGAGCTGAACCACAGCAAACCAGGTGGTTCAGACCTGAAGACCTTGGCGAAACAAGTCAACACAGCCTACCTGAAGAACCTCAGCATGACCAAGAAGAGGGCCCGCAGCATCCTAACGGGCAAAACTAGCAGCACCTCGGTACATTCCAGTTTTAGAACAGCTCCTCTGAGCTGGCCAGCCTGTTTCAACAGATATATTGAACTATAAGTTATACATGATCATCATATGATCACAAGAATATTTTGTTCTATCTATTATCAGGGCTTTGTGGCTCTGGTCCTAAACTGCCGGTTGCTTCAAATGCTATCTTGTTTAGAAACTGAAGCAGTTTTGTCCTCCTTTTAGCCATTTGTAATCTACGACGTGGACACACTCTGGAAGGCAGAGAGTGGTTTAGTATGGAGCCAGCTAGTTCCAGGTGCACCCCTGACGAAGGAGATTGGGGTCCATGTGTTTTACCGCTGCCAATGCACTACGGTGGAGACGGTGCGAGAGCTCACCGAGTTTGCCAAGTGCATTCCAGGGTTCGTGGACCTCTTCCTTAATGATCAGGTGAGTTTACTCAGTGTGCTATATGGTGAGATTGTTTGTATGTCGCTGTTTCGTTGAGGTACTAACATACAACCATCTGTGTTTTTTCTGCAGGTGACTTTGCTGAAGTATGGCGTGCACGAGGCCATTTTTGCCATGTTGCCCTCTATCATGAACAAAGATGGGCTGCTGGTGGCCAATGGCAAAGGCTTTGTGACCAGGGAGTTCCTGCGCAGCTTAAGAAAGCCCTTCAGTGAGATCATGGAGCCTAAGTTTGAGTTTGCTGTAAAGTTTAACGCTCTGGAGCTGGATGACAGTGACCTGGCCCTGTTTGTTGCTGCCATTATTCTCTGTGGAGGTAACACTGAAGGGTTTTCTAGTTTGAAGAACGTCATACTTGCTTGTTATGTTCAGGGTATCTGCATGTATGCATTATATCTGATTGCAGGATGTTGGGAGACACTCTCAACAGACTAAAAGAGGGATTGTTTCAACTGTAAATTGTGTATTCGGGAGGTTGTTGAATCTTTTTACTTTTTCAATCAGCACCATCAGACCTGTAGCAGTCACTGTCACTGCTAGTAGTACCACCACTGCTAAGAAGCTCTTACAGGGAAACCCAAACGTGTCCAGGTTGCATTAGTTCAATTAATTATATTATTAGTAGTTATTCTTATATACTGCTGGTTAGTAGTTCGGGAAAAATGTGATATAACAGTAAATAATAAGTAAGTAAGGCCATATCGTCCCTTTTGGTTTCCCATCATACTTTAATATGTGTGACTGTGAAACAGGTGTTACATTTTATTCTATTTGGCAAAATTTTACTTGTGACTCATCATAAGGTGTCCCCTGTTCTCGCAGATCGTCCCGGGCTGATGAACGTGAAGCAGGTGGAGCAGAGTCAGGACAGCATCCTCCAGGCCCTAGACCTCCACCTTCAAGCAAACCACTCTGACTCAGTCTACCTCTTCCCGAAGCTGCTGCAGAAGATGGCGGACCTCCGTCAGCTGGTTACCGAGAACGTTCACCTTGTACAGAAGATCAAAAAGACTGAGTCGGAGACCTCGCTCCACCCTCTACTACAGGAGATCTACAAAGACATGTATTAGTTCTCCAGCAGAGACTGCTTTTAGTGATACTGTTACAGAATGAATTTACATTTATAATAATACACTGCATTCAGTACAAGCACTGTTCCAAGTACGGGAATGGACTTTAACATGATGAGGCAAAGTTACGTGGTAGGGCTAACACAATCAGCAACGTCTTCTCAATGTCTGCATTACCCTCAGCACAGTAATGTGTGTGTGGCTTGTGTGTGTGTGTGTGAGATAAGCATCTGGAATCATTTGCTGCAAGTCCTAGTTTCCCACAACGCTCGCTTAACAGAGAGAATGATATGTTTTCTCACTGAAGCTGCTCCTATTACATTCTAATAGCGAAGCTGACCCCAGAGCAGTGTGTAGAGAGAGCTTCTCCTCGCTCACGAAGCTCCGTGTTTTGCTGTGAAGGGAAAGTATTTCATGTTCTTACACCAGTGGCATAGCTGAAACAGAAGAGAGCCGTCAAGTTTGTGCTGTGCAAGAATTTCTTATGATGCCAATGTCTTTGGTGGAGTGATTGTTCTCAGACTTTTGGTAAATCTGAAGATGCACAAATAGGTTTTTGTTTACATCATTGTCATCATCAGTGACCGCGCTACTTTGCCAATTGGTTTATAGAACACAAACTGGGCTGGCTCCAGCAGTGTAGGGCTCTCTCAAAGCAGCTGTCTGTGCAATACCTTTTTTTTCCAATTTGTCAATAAATGTAGAGATCCAAGTTATGTAGATTTTGTCTTAAAGCCATCTACCCAAGCGGTAACTGCACAGATTTTGTTTCTGAAGCTGACACTATAAACACACAACGCATTGAAGTACAAGGGACCGCATGTTTGTTTTTTTCTTTATTTTGACATGCAAATTATTATGAAATTGCAATTTTATGGTTTTTCTTAGTTTATTCTTTGTAATTCTGTTACTAATTATTTGTAATTGTTGATCATATTTGTAAGGGCAAAATATGAATTATCATCTTGTTTTGTGTAATAAGTATGTCTGCTCTTTCATATTACATGCCTGTCTATTTACTTTAGGTTGTACCAAATATATCGTCAAGCATACCAACAAACTTTTCCGTGATGAGGAATTTGGACTTCACGCCTTCACACAGGATTTACCTAAAACCAGCATACTGTACCATGATGTCATTATTAGGAAAATTGAAGATTAGAAATCAACAGACAGCAACTAGTATCATAAGTCATTTCCGGTTTCACCTAAGATATAACCACAGTCCTAGGTTACTACCCTTCTTGTGTACAGTCTGAGTTGTCTTGTCTGAGACACAAAGTGTAACAGCCTTACAATAGTGTAACCAGGATTCATAATTTTCCAACTCTTCCCCACCCCCACATATTCCCATATATTCTGTAGCAACTCTTTTTTTTTTTTTTTTTTTTTTTCCACTGTACTTTCTTCTGAATGGACTTCAGTATGTGAGCAATGGTGCACACAGTCAACCTTCAGAAGCCTCCTCTTGTGCTCTTATTCTGTCTTGATCCTTATCTACCTCTAATGTATGATCTGTGACATTATTCCACTGTCTCATCTAATCTGACTTTTTTTTGTTGGGCCTTAACTCCTGTTATTGGTACACATAGCAAATTTGATATTATTGGCTGATAGGTGTGGATGGATAAAAATGGCAAAGTACACCAAAAAAGTTGATGTAAGCTACCTCTATGCCTGTGTAAGGATGTAAGGATGGATTTACATATTTGTTCACAAAAACATGTTAAGACTTGAAATTACGTCCTGATAGTCACATGTAACCTATCTAGAGATCTAGTTTAGTTACATCTCACTTATAAAGTTTATTAGAAACATAACACCGATTTTTCTCCATTGTTTTTATTAAGAGGCAGGTTATATGCCTAATACAATGCACATATCAACTTTTTTCACTTATTAAAGTACTCCCTGGTATGATTACCATAGCTAATTAAACGTTGGGTCAAATCGGAATATGTAATACGTAACGTCCACACGTCGACGTCACGATTGTATTGGTTCGTTGTTGTTGATTGGTAAAGGGAAACGGCTGTCAACTATTTAGATACTGAGATGGAGGGTGCTCGGCGGCATGCTCAAAACACACGGAGGATGGACTCGGTCCGTAGTAGAAGTATCTGTAGGTAAGCGGCGCTTGTGTTTTAAGCGGACACATGGTGGGAAAGTAGTAGCGTTGATCCTGAGAAACGTTACTAACTTGCCTGTTGGTGCCACCGACACCCTGTGGTGCTAACTAACGTTATACTTTGAAGTGTTGCTGTCGAACGCGGACGTTATGGCTCAAAAGTGCGTTTTTGACGATCAAAACTTGTCAACAATGTGAAACTAAGTTCATTTATGGCTTTCAACTTTAGGAAAAGAATGGTAGCGTGGAGAGCCTTGCAAACAAAAGGATGGAGTGTATCAAAAGTTATTAACTAACGGTAACTTGTTGAAATATTAGCCGGAACTGTTCAGTTTAACGTTGAGGTTAAGTCAGTTATGGGCAACGGCAATGCCCTCTGTTCTGTATTTTTAGTGTTAGTTATCGCGTTAAATGTGAAACTCATCTATAACTTAGCAATTTTTCGACATAGCTAAGTAGCTAACTAAGTGATTGTTGGTAACGTTTTGCACCAGCTGGAAGCCTCAATTTCCGACAGCACGTAAACACATCTTATTGAGGCGTTGAGGGACCCACAACTATGTGTGAAATGTTATCCCTTTCCAGCTAGCTAAACATTACACAAACTGAAAACTGGGTATTTCTAAATACTGTTACTAGCTCTTTTAATAGGGCAACGGTTAATTGTCTTTTATTTACCTTTGTTTTTTTTTAAACGTTACCTGTTCTGTCCTTAACACTCCACAACCTTGGTCACGTTATTGGAATTTTCCACTCGTTAAACGATACATGCTAGTATGTTTTTGTGTAGCTTTTTATACGATTTTGACTTGAAAGAAGACTTGACTTGGACTTTATTGACTTGGGACCTGAGGCAGGCCTTGCATTGCCTCACACTTATTATTTGTACCTATGCATTGAATGGACCAGGCCTCAGCTATGTATAAACAAACAAACATGGCTTGTGTTGCATTTTTGACTTGGAAAACTTGTTACTTGACTCAGACTTGCCCCAAAAGATATAAAACAGCTCTGCTTCTAACTCAACATGGGAAAAATTCACTTCCGTCCCTTTTGCATTACAGGCGTTTCATAAATGGCTCTTGCAGATTTGGTCCAAGGTGTAATTATCGTCATGAATGGCCAGTTATACCGTCAGCCCAGATATGTAGGTACTTCCAGAAAGGTGGATGCTGGTATGGTGAACGCTGCAGGTAAGCTATTTACCCCCCTGTAAATGAATGAGAAAAGATGACATGCACATATATTTCCTTTGCTCATTCAATATTTTCCACCTCTAGATACCTCCATGTTCTTCAACCTGAAGTTGATGCAGCTGTTGCAGGTAGAAGAGGTTCAATGCCTGCCGTCTCCTCCTCCTCCTCTGTGGCTTACGCTCAACCTGACAGAAGGGGGTCAGAGCCTGCTCTTCTGCAGGCTGAGGTGATGTCCAGGCAGGAATGCCGCAGATCAGAGGTGATGCCTAATGTGTCAAATCCTCAACTCAACATTGGGCGCCTGGCAGCACATATTGCGGAGGAACCATTGCACGGTATTTGGTGTTTTCATGGGTTAAACTGACTTGGGTCAGCATTCCTCCATACTTCACTAACCTTATTTCTTTTTTTTTTCTCTTTACAGATACTCTCTCTGATCACACTGCTTCTTGTGATTCGAACCAGAGCTCTGAGGATGCACAAGCATGTGTTGGAAGAAATGAGCAGGTTCGCTTCGTTTTCAAGTCTTATCTGTCTACAGGGCATATTGGTGAATTAAACCAAATTGAACCCAGGAGGCTTATACTGATTACAAAGTTTCTGTGACCAGGAGACTTCTTCCAGTTATACAACAGAGGATGGTGGAGCTGCTGCTGCGCCCTCTAGTACCCAAGGGAAAGTGGAGGAAATGCAGGCCTACCTCCAGAGTAAAAATGTGACTTGTGGGATCTGCATGGACAAAGTGTATGAAAAGACAGACCCAAGAAACCATGTCTTTGGAATCCTTCCAAACTGCAGTCACGCTTTCTGTTTACAATGCATCATGACCTGGAGGAAAACAAAAGACCTCGGGCCGGACGTGGTTAAGTAGGTTTCAGTTCAACTTTGTCAGATTCAGGGGTCCATTATAAAACATGAAACATCACCACTGACTCGCAACACCTCCCCAAAAAGTTTCATAAATATTTAACTGTATCTGTCAATACCCCGTTAAAGATTTCACTTGACATCACTGTTTAATGATTATTCCTCAGGAGCTGCCCACAGTGCCGCATAAGGTCACCCTTCTATGTGCCTAACAACTACTGGGTTGAAGGTCAAGCAAAGGAAAGGGTAGTCGCTGCCTTCAAAGAGAAATTCAGGTATGGTGTGAGATTCAGCTTTCATAGATGCACTAATGACTGCAGCAGGGCTTAACGCGACTCATGACCTGATGAGTTTTAAAGGAATTTAAGTCTACCCCTTTTATACATCATTGATATGTAGTTCTCTATATAGGTTTCAGTCATCCTCTTAATATCGCTTATCCTGCATGTTTTTTGGGGGGGGGGGTTCCTGAACATGGACGTTTTTAAGAAGTAATTCTTGTGCCTGATGTGCTGTGGGGGTTGCATTAATATCAACTGAGTTATTAATCTCAACCAAGTCTCATCAAAGGTATGTGATGCTACCAAAATCAATCTCCAGCTTCATGTCTCGCTGGAATATGTAGAACTTGACCTTGATTTAAAATTGAGGGGGACTTGTATTAAACAAATGGGATGGTCAAACTTCTTATTGCACTGATAATTTGGCCACTTACACAAATTCTAATAAGCCTATGTTTTTGAAGCGTACAGATTAACTTGGTGATCTAAAACACCTCTTTAGAGTAGGGCTGCTCAATATATCGTTTCAGCATTGTCATCGCAATGTGCCCATGCGCAATGGTCACATTGCAGAACAATGTAATGTCAAGCAAGTCAAATTAACTTAATCACCTCAACTCTCCTACAAGAGAAGTCTGTCTGACGAAACATAATTTACTCCGATTTTAAGGGTTCTTGGATACAGTTTGTTTTTAGTGAGTGACAAGCAGGCTCTGCATGCACAGCGAACAACCAATTGCACTACTGTTCTTGATCAGTTTATCAACAGCCAAAATGGGCCTTGAAAATAAGTGAGGAACAGGAGAAAACCACTGAAACGGTGGATTTGGTTGCAAAAAGAAGCACCTTTTGTAAAGATGCACTTTTTTTTACTTATCATTTAAAATATGTTTACTGCATTAAAGCTTAAAGGATAGTTGGCACACAAAGTGTTAAAACTGAAGATTGTTTTATTTGAAAAGAATTTTGGGGGTTATTTCGTAGGGAAAATGTATGAGGGGGGGAATTAAGGTAATCTGGTGAAAATTCCTTTCATATTGCAATATATGTCACAGGAAAAAGCAATGGCAGGTTTTTTTCAATATCGTGCAGCCTTAATTTAGATCCGTGAAAGTTGACTGGATTTGAGCTGAACTGTGTAATCACGAAGACGGTGTAAAACTGGTACAGAAGTATTGTAGGTCAAAGTTAAGCCATAAAGTAGCTCCTTTGATGCAAAAAAGCACACTAATTGTATCTGATTGGACCAACACAAAATGCATTGAATTAAGGAGGTAATGATACAGAAGACTCATTTCACAGAGCTGAATTACCCTGATTAGGTATTAAAACTATATTTGCAAGCTAGAACTGCACATCCATTATGGTGCTACATTAGTATATGGGAATAAAATGGTGTTTTTTTTTTTTTAATGCAGTTTTCCTTTTAGCATTATGTAAATTTTAATGTGACATTGCTTGAAATCTCAGGCCAATGGTGAATTTTTATGATTTGTGTGAGAAATTGCCACATGCAACTGAAAAGCCTCCTGTCCTCTCATCTCCTGTGATTCTAGTAAGAAAAGCTGCAGTTACTACACGAGATACAGATGCTGCCCCTTCAAAGCAGAGTGCCTTTATCGACATGACAAACATGCACGTCACAGGTCATTTCCGGTAATTATAACCCCTGTTTTATGCTGTCAAGATTTCACCACCATTGGTATACATGGGGCAATGTGCTGGCGTTTACACTCTTTGTTTCTTGATCAACAGTATCCTACAGAAGATGAAGACGATTATGATGGCGTCGACCTTCTTAATCTTTTCATAGCCATGACCCTTCTAGGTGGTGATGACGATGATGACGACTTTGACTTTCCTTTTTACCTTTCTGAGGAGTATGATTTCTGAGGGGGGGGGGGGTTTCAGTCTTTTTGTCAGTGCCTGAAACCACTGAATGTGATGGGGTTTTAATTATAAAACTGGCCCCAGAAGAACACATGGCTGTATTTTGACCCTTCTGTCAGTATTGAAACATCTTGTTGAGAAGCCATGTTCGAGATCAGTGAAATCAACCATGCGCCATGATGGGGCCAAGTGTGTTCAGGTTTTTAATTGCAGCCAGACTATAGCAGGTAATTTTACAGATTAGCACTCATTCAACCAGAGAGGAATCAAATCAGCTGCTACAGTCTGGAAAGGGGAACCTGTACACTTAGCTCGCCACAACACATGGTTTTGGTGCCCCTGCTCTAGAAGTAAGCGCCCTAGATGGGACACTATAACCTCTATCTCTAATGATTGTGTGGTTAAACTGTGGCCTTCTAGTTTGGATTTATTTCCCCCTCCCATGGCCATAGAGTAAAACATGTAGACTGTTAATTTTGAGTGCTTATTTCTGACTTCTGTCTGAGGAATTGTGACCATTTTGATATTTTTAAGTGTTGCGTGGATGGTAGTTTTAACTGTCTATACTATTACCCTCCTTGCTAATGTCCACTAGTGATGGTACCTGTCTAAGGTAACAGCCACAACGCCCCTCTTCCTAGGTTTGACAAGAATGTTAAGATTTTTATTTCTTTTAAAGAAGTTGTACTTGTACACAGAAAATAAAACATTGCTTCACACTGTCTCTCTGAAATGTGTGTCGTGCTCTTAATACTTGTCCAGTTATAAATGGGTTCATCTTTGGTTTGCGAGGATATAATCTAAGCGCTCTTGGCTTTTACCACTAGGTGGCGCTGTGCACTGTACAGCACAAATGTATAGAAATTGCCCTCGCGAAGAAGACATGTATACAAAGATGGCGGGAGGTCAGCAGCAGACTGACCGGGCATCGTGGAAAATCTCACCCCGGAGTATGGACTGTACTGGGTTCTGAGTCGGTTGACGCGCAGTCGAAGCTGCTGGTCTGGTCGCTTCTGTCTGGAGCCTCCGGTGCCCACAGAGCTCTGGGCGTCTTCCACAGGCAGCAGCAGGCCAACCCCGAAATGTCACTGTCTAACTTAATAGAAACATTGTGCCAAGACGAAATAACCGGTCCAGACTCTGAAGCGCAGCCTCTGACTGTGTAAGTAACGTTAACCGCACCATAGGCTGTATATAAAAAGAACCGCACACGTACGACACATTAGGCTCACATAATGTCAAGAAAAATGATATGATAAACAAGAAAGCTATCAAAACTGTGAATTTATGTACTTTATCCCAGCTCCTTTCATTTTGTCTTATTTATTTTAATCTATATTTCTCTTGCTGTGTTTTTATTCCCCTGGCAAGTTCTCTGCTCTGTACTCGTACTGTTTGTCTGTATGTTGTATTGAAGCAAATTTTTTGAACTGAGGGGGGGAAAAAGGTTTAAATAATAAAACGGGAAGGGATTCTTACTTTAATAACATCAACACCAGGACATTAATGTTGAGTGTGGGAACCATGACCACATTACGTTGCATAATTTCTCACATCAGACATGTTTAACTGTGTGCATTTCAACTTGCAACAGCAAATCTCCGTATTGGAAATGTTCCAGTGTGGCATGTCAGTGAGCAGTGCTGGAATTAAGTACATTTACTCCTTGTACTTTACTAAGTATTAACATATTACTCTGCTACGTTTAAGAAAATAAATATCTTATTTTTACTCTGTAACGTATTGTTAAAGCCCAAACCAACGGTTCTCAGTCTTTGGCGTGTGACCCCTTATATAAACTAGTTACTAGTTGGCACCCCATGTCGGATACATTACACCTCAACTTTTCAGATAGTGTCATTTAAATAATTGCTAGAGACCCAAAACGGTCAACCTAGGCACACAAAAATTAATATTTAAGAAGTTAAAACAGTAACTTTAAACATGTTTTTATTCTTTAGTTTTAGTACTGGGATTTTTCTTTGCATCTGATGTGTTTATTGTGCTTTAACATAACACCCTATTGACTTCTGCTTAATACCATGAAATGATCATCAGTCCATAAGTGCTCACATCTATATTATGTCAAATGCCTCACACACATTTTCTTTCCTCACCTAGTAAACCCCTGGTGTGCCTGTTTCCAGCATTATTCAAACATAACCTTCTGTCCTTCATCTACCTGGTGCGCTCTGTTCTTCCTCGGACCGCTGTCCTCCATCTGCTCACGTGCCTCGGCCAGGACCCTCATCCAAGCCCCTGGGTCACTGCTCTGGTTAGACAGCTGGAAAGAAACCTTGGGGCCCATAGTGAGGAGCCTCTGTACACTCCACTGTGCAGCCAGAGACTAGAGAAGCTGTCACAGCGTTTGGCCGGTTTTGGTGAGACTGGAGGATGGGCAGAGTGCTTCAGAGGTCAAAGAGTAGAATCTGAATCGCAGAGTGAGTCTGGTTTATCGGAGCTGGGGACACAAAGGAAAAGGAAGGCCAGCTTTGTCACCCTGGACTCAGACGGTGAGGAAACAGGACGGCAGAGTAAACGGCTGAAGGTGGATGTCTTTGGTAGTGAGCTGCTCGATGCCGAAGAACAGAGCGCAAAAGAAGAGATTTCAGGAAGATTAGAAAGTGATGCTCCAGTAGAAACCCCTGCTGAAGAACTGCAGCTGGCACCAGACAGTGGGTGTGATGCCCTACCTGAACACATAAAGGTAAAGACACTCAAAGGGAAGACAGGATTTATCTGTCCTGTCTGCGCTGAAATGTATTATCCATTTTCATAATTTCACCAATTTAATTACTTTCCATTAAAGAACAGAAAAAGTATGCTGATGGGATCTTTGTATTCATTTTCATCACTCAGGAAACAGTTGAAATAACAAAACTTGGTATGTTTTTGTGTTTGCTTAGGTCGCTGTTTTTCAAATAAAAGAATTACTGGAAAATCAGACAGAGGTAAGAAGAAACTTTCTTTTAGCCAGAACTGTTGGCACAGACTGAGAGTGACTTTTTGTAATACTAAAATCATTATTATTGTCTATCTGCAGTGGGACCAGAGCTCCACAGATGTGTTCAAAGTGCTGAACGAGTGTGACCCCGGCCAAGTATGTCCTCATCATTTTTTTTATCCCTGCATTGAAATATTTAAAGGTGTTTTTAAGATTTTATCCAAGACAAATATAAGCTCAGAAATCTGAGTGAAGATCTCAACAAAAAATGAGTTTAACAAAGTTAGTAGGTATTTTAGAGCTGTTGTATTATGTTGTACATGTGTCACTGATTGTTTAGCAGCTCTAATATAAGAAATAAAGTGGAGAAACAGATTATCCGCTACCACTTACCACCACTTAGTTTAGCTCGTTGTGCTCTACACCTACACTCTGCACAGGAGAAATACCTTTTTTGACCAATCATGAAGCTTTCTGATGAGTTGTGAAAGTACTAACCCACATCTCTACGTCTCCTGTTTAGGTGGAGGTGTTCTGTTGCCTGCTGAGTTTTCCTGACTTACCGGAACAGACTCTGCCCAAACTGTGCAGCAGTATTCTGGCTCCCTCTCTTGACCTCAGCTACAGCACGGCAGCAACACTCATCAAGAGCCTCCTGCTGGAGAAGGTGCATCACTGAATATGCAAAGGATGCAACATGAGTGGCTGTGTTTGATTGTGACAGGATATTGTTTTATTATACCCGCAGGTCCTGTCACTGTCAGAACCGGCATCCAGATGTCTTGTGACTGCAGCGACATCACTGTGCAGCCACTTTCCCAGACCAATGTGCCACGCTCTAATCGGACCAGTTTTAGAGGAAAAGAACATTGGTGAGGAAAGGGTAGAGCTACAGCTGAGGGCAGTAATCATTTATTAACACTGCGTATCATGGGGGGGGGGGGAGTCAGAGTCAGTTTGTTACAGAGCAGCAGCCATGGAGCTGGCATGGATTCGGTGTCCTGGTTCAAGTACACATAAACAGGACAGATGACGGGCTGAGCCAGGACCTTGTTCCTCACCCCTTGGCCCCAACATCAGTTAATCCTTGTTTTGTTATCAGGGAATCCACAGGCTGAGCTGCTAAACAGACTGATAGAAGGCTGCCTGGATTCCCATTACAGACTGCTGGTGCTTCAGTAAGATAAAACAATTAAATTCTGTGTTTACTTGTAACTGCTGTAAAAAGTCAAATAAGCACAAAGTCATAATAGATTCAAATGGTTACTAGTTGTTTGTTGATGGAGTCTTTTACACCCCTCCTACAGAATGACATTCAAAATAGCATGGAATGAGGCAGTGCTCTCCATTATCCACAGCTTGTTAGACTCCAAGGTAATCTCACTGTTTATTCATGGGGAAAGTGCTGCAAGACCACTTAGTCATAATATTCATTGTTATTGAGGTGTCTGTTTCTTTTGTTTTGTTTTTCAGCCTGATTTGAGTGAAGAACTGTTCACACAGTTCACAGAACAGCTCGTGAGCCAGGGTCCTCAATTCACAAAGTCTGTGAAGTTTGCAAAAATGATGCTAACAGTCCTCACCAAATATAGCAGCCATGTAAGTTTGTAAATGTGTATCACACAAAATGGCTGAACAGTTGAAATAGTATTTGTAATCTCTCTTCACAATCTGTTTTTCCAGGTGACTGCTGCACACAAACACTCCCTGTGCGGTTGCCTATTGTTAAATGAGACCTTCCTGAAAAAGTCTCTCCAAGCTGCTTTGAAAAGAATCACACATACATGAAGTTTCATCTGACCTAATGCCTGTTAATAAACCCATTTAAATAAGTGCTTGCCTACTTTTTGACAATATTTTGACTTGAAAATGAAGCACTTCGTTCCACCAGCTTGACACAGAAAGAGTCGAATTTTGTCGGGTCTTACAGAGAAGATTCCAAAATGCTGACTTTTGTGTACTTAAAAGTTTGCTATTACATTCATGATGTGTCCCTGTGTGTGCGTGTGTCAGTGTGTGCATGTGTGTCAGTCTGTGCGTGTACGTGTGCCTGTGTGTGTGTATAACTCAAGGGTGTAGAATTTATTAGGGACTGTAGGGTCATGTCCCTACCAACATCTAATAACTACTGAACTGTCCCAACCATTATTTTGATCAAAACAATTAAATCTAACCACTGTTGTCCGTCAGCATCTAGTCAATGTATTTGGTACGCAAACAGTTAACAGCTCTTGTTCTTTACTACGAGTCCACTGCGTTTAACTTTTGAAAGATTATGTCTTCCGCTCTCCTATGCCTCAGCAACTTCTAAACATCTTCAGCTGGGAGATGTTTTATTGTCCCCACCATCAGTGACATGAAATATCTGCCCTTGGCATAGCTTTACCTGGATTCAGTGTAGCATCTTTAAATACTAAACATAACGTTTTTTTAACATTAAAAACATACATTGGTGGAATGTATCTAAGTACATTTACTCAAGGACTGTTCTAAAATACAACTTTGAAGGAACTCTACCTGAACATTTCCATTTTGTGGTCCTGAAACTTCTACTTAACTACTTTTCAAAGGGAAATATTGTACTTTTTTCCTACTATAATTATTATATAAGTTATCCTGCAGATTCAGATATTACATACAAAAACCCAATCAACTTCAAAAATATGATGGACAGTAATATACCCAATAGTATATAAAGTAATTAGAAATATTGTTACATTGACCATCTTCATCACTAAAATGCTGCTTATGTTATGGCATCTGCATAACAAAATCTGTACTGTATATATTAATACAGCACTGACGGGCCATTCTGCCGCAGAAGTACTTTTAACTCTTTAAGTACATTTTTTTGATAATTCTTCTGTGCTGTTGTGACTCTTAAGGGACTTTTATATTAAGGTATTGCTTGTTTTTCTTTTTTTTTTCTCCAGATATAAGTACTTCTTCAACTGTAAATATTTATTGGGATACTGAATTGTACACCCAGCGGTCTTAATTTAAAAAGACAGGGGGGTTTGAACTTTGCTTTATTGAGAGCATTCATATTTAGTCAATATGTCAGTACAGTCTACAATTCCTTTTTTAGCCATTTATTTCCCTAAATTGAGAACAGCACGTCATAAAATAAGCATAATTCAAACTTTTTCTGTTACGCCCCCTTTTAGAAGCCGTAAAAAGTTCCAGCCCCCCGACTCCAGAAAAAGTGGATTTCTTTAACAGCACTGACGACTGAAATAAAACAAAAGATTCAGGTTAGCAAAGTAGCCTTGATTGCATTAGAGCTCTTCATCACCACATGAATCTCATGCAACTTTAGGTCTGCTCACCGTCCATGCCCCCCTGCAGTGGCAGTTCGCCCCCACAGGGGGGCCCGCCCCCCAGTTTGAGAACCACTGAAATACAGCAAGATATATTTATATTTATTTCTAACCACATTAAATAAGCGACGCGGATTAATAATATTATACAACGTCCTTATTTTTATAGTTTAGATAGATGTGTGTAGTAAAAGAGTAAAAGGAAAAAAAGCGTCGTTTACGCGTTTTGATGACGTCACTAGAAGGCCGCCTTTATTTTGCGTAACTTCCCACGGTACTTCCTTTTCATCGTAGCAAGGCGAGAGGGACAAGCCGCTAAAATGAGGTTAGACACAAGTTATCCTACAAATGTCAAAAAATAAACTGTTTCCACATTTACACTAAGTTGTTTTACCCTCCAACGTCTGTAGTGTTATTATGTTATGCGGCTGTTTTGTTATTTAGTGCAGTTTTTCAGCATTTAGTGAAGCTTAACAGATACGAGCCCGTTTCATCTGCCGGTGCTCAATCTGCCACGCTAAATTTTGGATGTAATCCGCCTTCATCCACCGATTTAAAACGTGTTTTAGAAAACAACCCAACGTCCGATGTGTACATTAGCTCTCCTATATTACATTAATATAAATCTTTCCGGACTTTCTAGCGATTTTATCACCGTTAGTTTGCTGCGATACACCGCGGAACTGGCTTCACTGAGAAAGTGAACAGTGCATTTTCCTCAACATATGTTCTGATATTTTTATGTTACAGTAAGGTTTCCAGGGATACGCTGTATGAAGCCGTAAGAGAGGTCCTGCAGGGCTCTTTGTCCAAGCAAAGGAAGTAAGTTCCTGCGACCAAAGTGTTTTAACCTGAGACATTTGGGCCTTGAAATAAAATGCAGAAATGGGATATTTTAATGAAACTTGCCGTCTGTCTGTAGGTTTGTGGAGTCGGTGGAGCTTCAGATCAGCTTGAAAAACTATGACCCCCAGAAGGACAAGCGTTTCTCCGGCACTGTCAGGTTCGACCTTTTACTGTTTCACCCACCCTTTTCCCTGTGTGCTTCCAGCCCTGTCTGAGTATTTAAGCAGCCTGTGAAATGGCAATTAATTACAGCAATCTCGAAGAGTAAAAAATAAAAGTCCAGACAGGCCAGGGGCAGACATGGAGAAGTACTCTGGGTAGTCTGACTGAGCTGACCCAGCCTTGGCTGGCGAAGGCAAAGCGGGCGGACCCCTACCCTGGGTCTTAAAACATGAGGGGAGGTTTTGAGTGGCTGAGCTTTTTAAGTTCATGTCCTCAAGCCGACCAATTTACGTTACCAAAGAGGTCAGCTGGACACCGGCCATGGTGGTGGTATGGGTAAGAGATTTTCTGTTACACTGTTGAATCAGGAAGGTGTCATTTGGGGAGGGCAGTTTCTTCTGATCAAAGATTATAGAGAAGTAAACCTAGAGCCAACATTTTTCATCACAACTTTGTGTAGTTTATTTTTTTCCCTCCAGTTGCTGTATTGTACAAAACGAGTTTTAGATTGATAATCAGATACCTGTATTGGCCAGAAATGCACATGCCAGCTGTCCTTTGACTGACCACATTGCAGATTATGTGGCTGGACCAACACCCAGAATGCAATCTGACAATTCATCTGTCAAATTATCAACCATACCTGCCTTACTTCCAACTGATGGCCCCTGGGTTTATGTGGTCGTGAGCAGCGTCTTGAACTGATTTTGTTAATCTACAGGCTGAAGACTCTCCCCAGGCCCAAGTTCTCTGTTTGCGTCCTGGGAGACCAGCAGCACTGTGACGAGGCCAAAGCTGCTGAACTGCCACACATGGACATCGAGGCTCTCAAGAAGCTCAATAAGAACAAGAAGCTTGTCAAGAAGCTCGGTAAGAAGTTGACATCATGAACAACCTGACTGGGACGATTGTAGTGGACAGGGTTTTTTAAAAACATCTTGTTTCCTGCTTCCCCTCCCATTCTAGCCAAGAAGTACGATGCCTTCCTGCCTCTGAGTCTCTGATCAAGCAGATCCCTCGTATCTTGGGCCCTGGGCTGAACAAGGCCGGCAAGTTCCCCTCCCTGCTCACACACAACGAAAACATGACTACCAAGGTGGACGAGGTCAAATCCACCATCAAATTCCAGATGAAGAAGGTACGCGAATCTGTTGTAGACATTGAGGTTGTGATAAAGAAATTGATTGTTGCCTTACTGAACAATATTCTTTGTGTCATAGGTGCTCTGTCTGGCTGTAGCTGTAGGACACGTCAAGATGACAGAGGATGAGCTTGTGTACAACATCCACCTGGCTGTCAACTTCCTGGTGTCTCTTCTGAAGAAGAACTGGCAGAACGTGCGAGCCCTCTACGTCAAGAGCACCATGGGCAAACCCCAACGCCTCTATTAAATTTACAGCTTTTCTATCAATAAAATGTGGAGATGCTCCGAAGTTGACTGTTTTGTTGTTTTATTTTTGTCAGATTGAAACTTTGGTTTTCATCGCTTTTTAGCGTTTAATGGTCATGGACAAAATTTTCGAGAGAGATATATATTTGTGCCATCTAGTGAACTAACCCGTGTCTCTATGAAAGCAGGACAGTTGTAATGGAGGGTGTTGCATAAGGTTCTATGTAATATGTCACTGTTTTGGGGTTCCAGCTGGGAACCAAATTGTCGGGTTTCCAAACTAATTTATTTTTGGTAAATGGCTCCGAACAATACAGAACTGGGTGCGTGAGCCGGTTCCATGTTGGTGGCAAAGGAAGTGTACAGGTGTCTACAAGCCCAGAGCATTTTAACATCGGCTGTTTTTGAGTATTGACCAAAACAAGGCTCAGTATCAATACTTTGTGGATTGATCAGCTTAGTTCTGTTGTATTTGGTTAATCTAAAGGTCTTAAATGTTTATATGGTGGTCCCTCTATGAACTTAATGCAGAATAATCCCTCAAATTGTAATTTGACAACCCTGGAGCCGGTTCTGGAGGGATTCAACCTGTGACTGTCTGACCCCCTCCTAATGGTCTAAGGTGTCTTACAGCAGGTCTAATTTTGGACTGATACTACTGAATACTATGATAAAGTTGATGTTATTGTGGGGGAACCCTGCTGATAATGAGATCCCCTGACTCAGCTGACCTGTTGAGGGGGCCTTTTCAAACTGTACAACACAGACAATGCAACACTGTTATACCTCACAGAATACTGTGGTGGTTTCAAATCAGTAAATAAAACTGTTAAATTGAATTTATGGTCAACACCCCCACCAGCAGGTATAGCTGCTATATATAAACCCAAAAATCAATTAAACTTTTAAATGTAGAAGTGCATGTGATTCGTCACTAGGGACAACACCGGCATTTATTTACTAAAGATAAAAGCACAGCAACAGGTACATCCATAGCGACCTGTGAGCCTCTTGGGCGGTCATCCCGCTCAGTTTGACTGTGGATCTCTTAATAGGATTATTTATTCTCAGTACAGGAGAAAGGCAGAGGGAGAAACAAACCAAACACGGACAGAACTTGTGATAATGTGTTTTTAGCAACAATGAGAAATCCACTGTTGACTGTGAAGAGCGATGAACAATATAATCTGTTTTTTACCTGAGTAAGACATTCGGATTATTCTTGTGACGACACAATGGACACTGAGGTGAGTGAAATAATCTTCCAGCTGTCCTACAAGATCCCGTTAAACACTTTGTATTGAATGATTGTGGAGTTCAGTGACACTGAGTGTTTCTGAACTCATTTCAGCCTGATGCAGAGACGAGTAGCTGCTGTCTTGCCACAATGCTGGGCAGTGAGGATAGCGAAGAAGGTAACAGTCACAAAAACGTTCACTGAAGAGTCCAGCAACCAGTATCATGTCTCTAAATTTAAACTGGGTTGTATCTTTACAACAGAATGCAGCCAAGAAGAGCTGCCAATCACAAGCTGGAACGAGCTGTCCATCATAGAGCGCGTGGGCCTCAACAGGTGACACGGTGTAGTATTTACCTGCTATACAATACAGAGTATATTTAAATAACATGATTTGTTTTGACTTTTCAGTAAGCTTTCAATCATCTTGTTTTCTGACAGTGTAGAGATGTCAGAGAAAGATTTGGAGGTAAGGTCGCCCACGTCTCATTCACCATGATATCTCACAGACTACATACAGTTTTTCCTCTTTGTATTGGCCCACATGAACATTTCTGTGTACTTGTATTATCTTATCATATATTACATGCATTATTTGCTCGTTATGCCTGTTGCATGTTGCTGTAAAGGATAGGCCCACAATTTTTCAAGTGGAACAGGTTTGCTTGTTGTAATCATTGCTCCTGTTCACACTGGCCAGCTAATATGAGTCTGCAGCAGTCTGAGTTAGAAAAACCACGCATATGTCACCCAAAGTTACAACTTTTAAAATGATTTTTGTTTTTTAAAGAGTGTAGTTTTTGTTTAGTTTATGCTGAATATCTAAATATCTAGGCAGCAGATGTAAATGTATTATTGTAGTTTGGTAAAATCTTGGACATTTACATGACTTACATGAATTCATGTGTCTTACAATATTCCCCTTCGGTTGAAGTTAAATGTTTTCAGGTTTTATTGTCATTTTAGCCACACGAAATACACTTACATGAAATATTGTTTCTCTTCAGCACCAGAGATTAAAACAAACATAAACATCTGAAATGTAAGGGAGCATTGAAAACCTGAGTGAAAGAATGATACTGTCCTTCCTCGCAGACGGCCTTCTCTCAGATCGCCCTGGCCTTCCGCTGTGATCAGTACACCCTGAAGCAGAGGCTGCAGGCGGAGGAGCACGCCCGCAACCTGGCTGAGGAGAACATCCAGCTGGAGCTCACCAGAGGCAGGGAGACCCTGGAGGTACAGTAAATGACATCTGAAATAAGCCTAAATGGCGCCGCCAGAGAGCAAGTGCACAGGTGTGTTTGTGTGTGTTTTCAGACACTGAAGGGCCTGTGTCTGGATAGCAAGCGCAGTAAGATCCTGCAGAGGCTGGAGCTGTCTCTGGACATCCTCGGTGGGACTGTGGAACGAATCTCCAACACAGCTGAGGTGCTCGGTGCTGTGCACCAGGTACACCGAGGCTCCTCTGCTCCTGTTTTATTTCTGGACGGCTCAGTAGATGGTGGACTGTTGTTTCCAACCTGTGGGTCAGGGCCCTAAAAAGGGTCCCAGAATAACTCTGAGGAGTCACAAAATGATTAAAGGGGTAACGAAAAATAACATTTTTTCTTTCTCTAGTTTCTGCTTTGTCGATGTGAAATACTTAATATTTTCATCTCTTTAAGCCTCAAACAATCTTAGGAGGATAAAAATCACTTTTTGGGTTGTACTGACCACCCTGAAATGTCCACACTGAGACGGTAACAAATAGGCCTGGTTTTATTTGAAGCAGACAAAAGCTAATTATTGATGCACATTAAAGCTAAAACAGTTTGCTCTTTTGTTATGGTTTGTATGGTACTTTTCGTGTCTTTCATAGGAGGCTCGCGTGAGTCGGGCGGTCGAGCTCATGGTGGCTCACGTGGAGAATCTTAGGAGACGACATGACAGAAGCGTGGCTGAGCTGGAGGAGGCCAAGAAGGTGATCCCGTGCAGAAACGTCGTCGACCCCAGAGCATCTCCAGGTCTCTGATTCGTGGTGTTTGTCTTGTTCTGCTGCCATGTGCAACATTTGACTCATCACCATGTCTTGTTCCAGAGCCAGAGGAAAGTGACAACAGAAGGAAAAGCTCTCAGCAGGTACACAGATAGTTACACATAATATGGGTACAACTACCTTTTCGTCACTTGAGTCTGCCTTTTATTTTGTATTCTTTAACTTTTTTCCCATTAGAACAGCAGTCGACGAAGGATCGGTGCATCAGTAATTCCCAGCCAAACCCAGGTAAGGAGGTGTCTTTAGTACTCTCTCCCCCTTTCTTTATAAATGTTATCATCCAGAAACCCAAATGAGTGTCTTCTTCTTTGTCTTTACAGGAGAAGATAAAGCGGGCCACTCATGGAGGATCCTCCAGCAAGAAGTCCTTCTGCACCTTCCCCTCCCTGAGCTTCGAGTCCAGCTTCTCTGCCCCGGCCAAGGACGACAGCTTCTCAGTGGATGCAAGGTCAACTAGAGGCTCAGTGTTCGCACTTTGTATCTGGACCACATGATCAGCAGGTGTGCATCACCTGATTTCCTTTTTTATTCTCTCTCTCTCTTTTTTATTAAAGGCCACTGGATCCAGATGAAACAGTGTCAGAAGCTTCAGCTGCTCAGCTTCCTCCGCAGCCCTCTCCCACGCCCAACCCAGAGTGCCTCCCTTCAGAACAACTGGCCACCAGAAAGATGCAAAGCAAAAAGTATGACTTGTATGATTAAAATATCTGGAACACCACACAATACAACAGCATATTATATTTATATATATTTCTACATTTGGCATTTGTTGTCATTTTATGCTGCCACATTGCATGACTTTGCAGTGTCTGTGACTGATAGGCCTACACCAGCAATTCAGAGAGCAAGTACTTTAAATAACAATAGAGCTTTTTGACTGCAGATTCTTTGACTTCTCATAGCAGGAAAAGCACACATGTAATGAATAACATGAATTAACCAGCCATCATTAATGTTATTAGTAATTGTGGGCTTGGAAACAAAGGGAACTGTGACTGAAAGATATTTAACAGGATATTTTCTTGACGCCAGTACAAACTGCACTCTCAGACGAATCCCCCATTTTTTCCGTGCTTTTGTGACTTTGCATTGATAGTGTCGACTGTCTCGTTGTTACAGTTTCCCTCTGGACGCTTTGCGACAGAGACACAAGGGCAATGCTCCGTTACCGAAGAAAAAAGCAGACATGGAGAAGAAGAGTAAGAATATTCACCGGCAGCTTTCTGTGGGCACGTGAGTCAACCTGTGTTTTTCAAAGCCTTTTGAGCCTCTGGTGATTTTTTTCCACCTCTGGACCAACACTGACTGGCTGCTCTCCTCAGGTACGGCTCTTCGCGGAGACAACGTCCTCAGCCTCACTGGTTGTGTCGCTGTCGCTGGGCGCTCATCTGCATGTACCTGTTTGTGCTTTTCTGTGTCATCACAGTGACATATCTTTTGTTGGAAGCTTTGTGATTGAGCACTTGAGCCATGAACTGGAATACACAGTTATCTGGACGTTAAATTCTGTGTATTGTAAACATCAAGTATGTAGACCAGCTGAAACGCCCGTGTCAGTCTGGAAAGCTCTTTGTATATAAATACAAAACATTTTGATGTAACATTTTTGGTTCATTCATCCATGTGTTTTGAAGTACTTTGTGTTGTTGTTTTTTAATCTGAGGAAATACCTCCACCTTCTAGATAACAATACCGCAAACTTTCAGTTGTAGTTTTTATTATAAATATACAAAAAATATCAAAACTGATACAATCACTTGATTAGTAACAAAACACCAAACTGCAGTGAAAACATTCATCAAACCACCATTAAAGGCATCAGTGATTAAATATTAAGAGTTAATAAAAATTAAAATGTTAATCTTACTTCATGTCAGACAAGTGTTAAATTGTAACTATACATATAAAATGCATTTTCAAAATTTTAATCTCTATGTTACAAGGTGGAAACTTTCAATACAGATAAATATAACATTGTAAGTTATATTAGGAACAGGGAAACCTATTTGAAAACTACTGTAGCTGAATTTTCTGTGCAAAATGTGTGCCAGCCACAAAGAAATTCTTGAAACCACAGCACGTGTGTTTTTTAAAATCTGTTTTTGTATGACGCTCAATTCACCTCAGATGTTTTAGAAACATCTATTAGAAAACAATTTAAAATAAATAAAAACTAGCTTAGCACCTTACATTTAGTTTTAAATTAAAAAGATGAGAGGGAAACATGCTCGCCAGGTTACCGATAGGTTTTCTGCACCATGTCAACATACAATCTCACAGAGAGTCCAAAACCTTAATAAATACAGAGATAAATAGAAAGGAATAACAAACATCCTACTGAACATACTACAGAGCAGTAGAGGTCTCAGCTACACCTGGCTCACGATTTCAGCATCCTCTGCGATGAACCATTGGACTGGAGTCCCGTCTGCTGCTCTCTGGAGGATCACATTACCTGAACCCTGTGGAAACAGTCATTAAATTAGTGTTCACCCAACGCATTCTGTACATAAATATATAATTTAGTGAGTTGTGTCATTCTCAGCACCAACCTGTTTAAATGGAGGCAGATGAGGTGAAGTGGGGCTCAGGGGGCTCTGGTGATCCACGCAGCTTGGCCGTAACTTCTGCAGCTGATTCCTCTGGTGCCAGGACTTCAGCTCCTCCGACACAATCTCCCTGGGCATCAGCCTGATGGCGTGGTTCGGGTACTCCTTCAGTGAGGGCGTTCGCACCAGCCTGGTGTAAGGTGGAGGGGGCTTGAGGATTCTGCTCGGGCACGATGCTCCCCCCTGCCATTGCCTTTGCTGCGGGCTGCGTGCCACATGAGGAGAGGACAGGAAGCGCTCTGCCATGTCCAGTCTTGTGGGGAGAGGGGGCCGTCTTCTGCTGCGGCCCTGACGTGGCTGGGGCTGGACTGACAATGGTTGGTGTTCTTGTGTGAGCTGGAGAAGCTGAGGTGGCCTTTCTTTTGTGCTCCAAAGTGTAATCCGTAAGGCGGCGGGCATAGCTTTGTGATCTCAGTGGGTCCGTCCCTGCCAGGAGAGCTAATATAGGAGGAAGACGAGTGCTCCGAGCTGCTGTCCTCAGAGCTGGACTGGTAAGAGCGCAGGGGAGAGTACTCTGGAGAACGCACCATGAAGTCAGCAAAGCAGCGCCGCTGGGGCAGCCTGGCCCGCCCTCGACTGTTCTCTGAGCTGAGGCGCTCGATGTCAGCAGATAGCTTACTTTTGGGGAGTCTGGGGAGACATATCATATGGAATTATTAAAAATATAGTGCACATGTTTTTATGCTCTGTTTGCATGACTAATGTATCAGACTTCACTGTGTACCTGAAGGACTGGGAGTACTGTCGGCGTACATGCAGCTCTGGGGTGGTGGGTGCGCTGGTGGAGTGGTTGTGACGCAGGGCAGAGTTCTTGATGAACTGGGAGAGAGGAATCCTGCAGCTCTCTGCAGACACCTGGGTTCCTGCTGGACTACTGCACACAACAAAAAGATAATTTGAGATATCCATCCGCTAGATGTTACCCTTACTGTACCTTATACTAACTACAGTGCCTTGCGAAAGTATTCGGCCCCCTTGAACTTTTCGACCTTTTGCCACATTTCAGGCTTCAAACATAAAGATATAAAACTGTAATTTTTTGTGAAGAATTATGAAGTGGAACGAAATTTATTGGATATTTATATACAAACCTTTTTAACAAATAAAAAACTGAAAAATTGGGCGTGCAAAATTATTCAGCCCCTTTACTTTCAGTGCAGCAAACTCTCTCCAGAAGTTCAGTGAGGATCTCTGAATGATCCAATGTTGACCTAAAGGACTAATGATGATAAATAGAATCCACCTGTGTGAAATCAAGTCTCCGTATAAATGCTCCTGCTCTGTGATAGTCTCAGAGGTCCGTTTAAAGCGCAGAGAGCATCATGAAGAACAAGGAACACACCAGGCAGGTCCGAGATACTGTTGTGGAGAAGTTTAAAGCCGGATTTGGATACAAAAAGATTTCCCAAGCTTTAAACATCCCAAGGAGCACTGTGCAAGCGATAATATTGAAATGGAAGGAGTATCAGACCACTGCAAATCTACGAAGACCCGGCCGTCCCTCTAAACTTTCAGCTCATACAAGGAGACTGATCAGAGATGCAGCCAAGAGGCCCATGATCACTCTGGATGAACTGCAGAGATCTACAGCTGAGGTGGGAGACTCTGTCCATAGGACAACAATCAGTCGTATACTGCACAAATCTGGCCTTTATGGAAGAGTGGCAAGAAGAAAGCCATTTCTTAAAGATATCCATAAAAATTCTCGTTTAAAGTTTGCCACAAGCCACCTGGGAGACACACCAAACATGTGGAAGAAGGTGCTCTGGTCAGATGAAACCAAAATCAAACTTTCTGGCAACAATGCAAAATGTTATGTTTGGCGTAAAGGCAACACAGCTCATCACCCTGAACACACCATCCCCACTGTCAAACATGGTGGTGGCAGCATCATGGTTTGGGCCTGCTTTTCTTCAGCAGGGACAGGGAAGATGGATGGAGCCAAATACAGGACCATTCCAAAACATAAAGCAAAATCTACACTGGAATGGTTCACAAATAAACATATCCAGGTGTTAGTATGGCCAAGTCAAAGTCCAGACCTGAATCAATCGAATCTGTGGAAAGAACTGAAAACTGCTGTTCACAAACGCTCTCCATCCAACCTCACTGAGCTCGAGCTGTTTTGCAAGGAGGAATGGGCAAAAATTTCAGTCTCTCGATGTGCAAAACTGATGGAGACGTACCCCAAGTGACTTACAGCTGTAATCGCAGCAAAAGGTGGCGCTACAAAGTACTAACTTAAGGGGGCTGAATAATTTTGCACGCCCAATTTTTCACTTTTTTATTTGTTCAAGTTTGAAATATCCAATAAATTTCGTTCCACTTCATAATTGTGTCCCACTTGTTGTTGATTCTTCACAAAAAATTACAGTTTTATATCTTTATGTTTGAAGCCTGTAATGTGGCAATAGGTCAAAGTTCAAGGGGGCCGAATACTTTGCCAAGGCACTGTATCATTTACACTTTATTAATGATTCAAGTTTTTGATATTATTTCATCCTCAAAAAGAGACACAAACCTCATTAGATTAATGGAAATAATGCCATTTTTAAAAAATGAGTCTAATTTCCACGTCACTGCTGGTG